CCGGAAATTATTGCAGTCGTTTCTTCAAACACTTCGTGGTGTCAGATTGCGCAGCATCTCACGAACCGGCTTGGAAGGACGATACACGACTGTCAGCCCTTCGGCCACGTATTCGTAAAACAGAGAACACCAATTAGTCTTCGGTGTGGGTGCCAATCATTACAGTGTCATGTAAATGTAGCAACAGGCAGCAGTCCTTCGGCGAACAGTTCTAATTTTCTGTTTTTGTTCTTATCTGGCGTGGTAAATGCGAAGCATTTCTTAGCTAACTTCGGTGACATTGAGCATATTATCACGACATAGACACAGCAGGAGTCGGATATAGGAGAGCTTCCTTTAACTACATGCAAGGCGCTCGTAAAGAGGTCCGGGCAAGAACATCGTCTTGCTTGCTTCCTGCGCGAGCTCTTTTCTGCACGTTGAATGCGGAATTATCTATCTATCTATCTATCTATCTATCTATCTATCTATCTATCTATCTATCTATCTATCTATCTATCTATCTATCTATCTATCTATCTATCTATCTATCTATCTATCTATCTATCTATCTATCTATCTATCTATCTATCTATCTATCTATCTATCTATCTATCTATCTATCTATCTATCTATCTATTTAGCCGCCTACGACTTTTAGCTCTTCTGGCCATTTCGATAATGGTATAGATACCAAACTTGGGATTGCATACCATCACTGTATGAAGAACATATTTGACTAGTCATAACATGAAAATGATATGTATGTCATGAATGTAATGATTTACATTTAATGGTCTGGCACCTCTTGCGGTGGTTTTGTTCACATGGCATGTTGCAAAACTGGTATCGTACGACATGACTGCATGCCGAACTCAAGCGACCGACCATAACATAAAAACCATGACATGCGTGTCATGTAACAACATGACTACATGCCACTCTCATCATGCGCTGGCGGCCGTTTCGCTAGCTTCACTTATACCAAATTTGGTATTACGGGATGTAAATGGATGCCGAAGGCGTGATACTGGTGCAAACATGATAAACATGAGGTACGTGTCATGTAACAGCATGACTACACGCTGCGCTCATGATGCGCTCGCGGCCGTTTCACTAGCTTCACATGTACTAAACTTGGTATTACGTGACGTGAATGGACGACATATGTAAATGACAATTCTAAACATGATAAGCATGACATGCGTGTCATTTAACTATATTACTACACGCCACACTCATAATACGCTCGCAGCCGTTTCGCTAGCTCCACATATGTCAAATTTTGTATTACGTGACATCAATGGGCTAAAGGTATGTGACTGGTGCAAGCATGATAATCATGAGATGCATGTCTTGTGAGAACGTGACTACATACCACAGTCGAGGCGCCAATACATTATGACGTGACGCGGTGCGCGTGCTCGCCGGCGTTCATTTCGTCGCCCCACGCCGGCGTTTCCACGCCAGGCACTGGTCTTGCCACATACTCGTAGGCGCGTGCTGTGCTGCATTGCTTTGACGCATGTGCGTTTCAGCACGTCCAGCGTCCCTCCGTCATAAAAAGAGGGAGACGCGATGTTGCCTCGGTAACGCATCACCGCGAAATGCAGCATGCCGCATTTTGCGGCATGCTGCATAGAGCGCTCCCGTTTTGCTAAAGTCGCGTCGCTGTGCCAAGCATTTCGCGGCATGCTGCATAGAGTGCTCCCGTTTTGCTAAAGTAGCGTCGCTGTGCCAAGCATGCGCGTGCGTCAATGCTACATTGGAGTATACTGGGCCCTTCATGATGCGCTCGCGGCCGTTTTGCTAACTCCACATATACCAAATTTAGTGTTACGAGACGTCAATAGATGACGAAAGTGTATGACTGGTGCCAACAAGATAATGCTGACAAGCGTGTCATTTAAGAAACTGACAACATACCACGCTCATAGCATGCTCGTGGCCGTTTCGCTAGCTAGCTCCACATATACTGAATTTGGCATCACGTGACGTGAATAGATGACAAAGGTAAACGACACATCCAAACATCACACTCATTACACGTAAGTCACGTACGGCATACCTCCACCATGTAACATTGTGCTGACTTTAGAGTCACATATCAACCTTCCTCATTCGTGATTCGCATATCATCGCTAGCCACTGTACGTGGGATCTGCCAAATTTTTTATGGTGGTTTACCCTAGTCTAAGGAATACAAGTCCATATGGTTACAATTTTATTGATCTATTTGTTGTTCTGGAGGCGGCAGAAGCATATTGGTTTCATTGCTTGAAAGAGGATGAATAATTGCTTCTGCACGTGCCTATGATGTCCAAGCTCAGTAAATCATGTCATTGCATACGTACTTGTGCCTGAGCATCAGCGCTTGTAAAAATTCGTATCACGTAGCGTTCTAATGGAACAAGAAGCTAACATTAAATTATGTGTTAGTACGTTTTAAATCACATCATAATAATACAATTTTGCTGCTATGTTTGCTTCACCTAATATAACTTTGCTTCTCGTCTGTTGTAACAGGAGGTGGAGCAAAGTCCAATGGGCACAACGGAAAAAATAGGCGCAACGTGCCTCTTCCACCAAGATGTTTTTTGGATTACACGATCATATTATCATAACTGCTAGTTCATGTAAATAGTCCAATGATACACACATTCGTCATAACTACTCCTTAGTACAACTTCACCAGTTGTACGCTTCTCTCGTTAGATTTACATTACATTTACTTTTAATAACATCCCACAGACTTTCCTCCGCATCATTGTCTGTTGGGTATCGTTAGGATTATCCAACGAAGAAAGTATGTAGCCCTTAAATTTACAGTTATGTTTTTCATTCATAGCGAGTGTCTCGTAGTGAGTGTGTCATTATGGCAGACATGATGCCTTCATGAAGTATGCGAGAGATTGATTAATCGTCAGCTGCCAGCTCGTATTCGGCTCACGTGCCACGTGACACCAACAGGAAAAAAAAAGAGTGTTCCACACTCGTCCTAACGGCTACTGACAGCGCTTACTGATGCTCCCACGTTTAAAAATGCCCATATACAGCTTATAAGGGGACGGGTGATTGACCGCTGCCGTACCTGCGGTAGAGCATCGGATGCGTCCATCGAAGGTCGCAGCTTCAGTGCCTGCTGGTGGCAAGTAACCTTTCGTTCATAGCTTCTTCTTTACATGTACACAATGATTGTTCCTATTAACATCCCCTATATTAACGTTGCATCATTACCTGTTACTTTTCGTTAGTATTGTGTTTAAAAAATAAAACAAACCGTTAAAATTACTCTGCCTTCCTTTTCCTGAAAAAGTAAAACTAGTACCTCTGTTGTTATTTCGGGACCACCCCCGTGGAGCATCAATTTTATACGTTTGAGGGCTTTCAGCACAGTGCCAAGTTCAAATTTGCACGCATCTACCAAGTTTTGTTATCTAGCGTGTTGCTTTATTAATAAGCTTCCAATATCGGCTTTGTTTCGAAAAAAAAGCGATACATGAGACAGAGGTTTATATTGGCGGGGGCGAAAGTACCAGACCATGGCACCCGGATCGCATCAGTTCATGTAAAGGAGCGGATGTGAATCGCATGATCCCGATGCAGGGAAGAAAACTTTTCAAGGCCGAAACTTCTTAAGGTCGATCCTTGTCCCTTCGTCAGCGTGACATAGAACGCCCGTTGTCTTGGCTTGCACGCGCTGAAAGCACCAGCCCCGAGGAGAACCAAGATCGAGGGTGCGCTCGTGGCACGCTGTTTCTTAAGCTGCGGCACCCCAAGAGCTATAGAACGCGCTCACTCCAGGCTCTCTTTCTGTCGTGATCATGGAGTGCACTTTTTATGAAAGAAAGAAAGGAAGAAAGAAAAGAAAGAAAGAAAGAACAAAAGAGGGTAGAGGGAGATGATCTCTCGGAGCTCCGCCCACTCGCCATCATTCACTTCGTGGATATGCTACTGTTTTTTTTTCGTCTTCTGAGCAGTGGGCGATCTGAACGGGACTTCGACAGCTTCTGTTTTGTTCTAGCGAAGGATTCGAACAAGGGCATACCTGAGTATTGAGCCAGTACTCGTAGGTGGGTGCAGTTTCACGACAGCTGCTGATTTACAACTTCAAGATGGAGTTGTAAGCCACCGTCAACATTTACGGGAGGATTGGCTCAGCGAAGATGGTCGATCCTGAACCGGAATATTTTACAACCTAGCAATGCCTGCCTACAACATAGCTAAACCAACGTACGTAAAACCAAGCAAGAACCGTATTGTAGCAGCAGCTAGCGTTAGCCTATAGACTTGAGGGTCCACCAGTTTTGTTTTATAAAGCACGAACTAGAAACAGACCAAGTACAGCCCAAAAACATGACTGGTAGACAAACCAAGCTTCGCTGAGCAAGTCTTTGTGTGATGGCGGAAATTTCTCGCACTTTATCAGCCACGTAACAGATATCTCTGTGGCATTTTTAATAAGTAGTGACTGTTTAGGGTTCTTCTACAGAAGGTAGCAGGAAATACTAAGAAGGAATACTCTTATAGCGAAGCCTTGGGATGTTGTAATGGGCCACCCTTTCCAGTGCATTATTCGGGCTTTTTCCTCGAAGAAATATCCCTTGTTTTGACAATACATATTGACAGTGGCATTGATTTGAGTGCAATAAACATCTCTAGAGTGAATAAGTTTTATGTACTTCTACAAAGGGTGTAACTGGAGTATGATACTCATCTATCTTTACCTTTATTTCTGTTTTTAATTTAGTTCTTACAATATCAGTCAATTATTAAAAATATGATACGCATTAAAATTTATGGCTCTTTGGTACGGAGGTTGCAGAAGGCACCAATCTTATTGCTTTTCACAAAAGACATCAGTAACCAGATTACACTACATTAGGGCAGTCGTAGTTTTGGAATGGTTGCATAAAACATTTATTCGTACCTTGTCAGCGTAACGGGTGTATTATCAGTGCTTTACCAGCATAAGATTCGTTTAAGTTCTTCACATACTTATATTTTCTCCTCCCTAAAAGGTGAAGAGGAGGAAGGACAGGAAAGAGAAGAAAGAGGAGGTGGGGAGAAAAGTAAGAAGACAGAAGCATCTACATCTTTAACGACATCCACGAAAACTACCACAATTACTTCAACAACAGCAAGTCCGGCATCATCAAACGGTAGGTATCGATTAGTATTAGGAATTGGGTCCCATCGCAGTGGTCTGGTGGCTAAGGTACTCGGCTGATGACCCGCAAGTTGCGGGATTGGATCCCGGCAGCGTAGGCTGCATTCTCAATGGGGGTGAAAATACTCTAGGCCCGTGTGCTCAGATTTCAGCAAATGTTAAGAAATATGAAGTGGTGAAAATTTCCGGAGTCCTCCACTACGGCGTCTCTCATAATCATATGGAGGTTTTGGGACGTTAAAATTTACATATCAATCAAATAAATTATTAGGAATTGGTCGTTTTCTTCGCTAGAGTCACACAACTTGCTATTTTTTCAGCTTGTCATGTTAACATAAGAATATATCTACACGCTCGCTACGCTACACGCTCGCGTAATAGCGTAGCGTGTAGCGTAGTCTGTAATAACGGCTATCTATCTGTTTCCCAATGTTGATGTGGGAAAAGGACCAAGCAGGTCTAACCCAATATGGTAAAATGGTTCCGCGGCTATGTTAATTGGTTGAAGATGGGCAGCGCGTAGCAGCGACGGTGTTTTACGACATTGGCATAGGTCACACGTGGCGACGTATCGGCGTACTGAGCGAGCAAGGCCTGGCCAGAGGAAACGGCACCGGACGCGCTCGTACATGCGGGATACGCCAAGGTGTCCAGCCGTGGGAGCGTCGTGAAGTTCAGTGAGAACACAGCGGCGCAATTGCTTAGGCACAACAATGAGAAGGTCGGGCCCGTCTGGTCAGAAATTGCGACGGTATAGCACACCCTTTTGAATGGCAAAGTAGCGGACGGAAGCATCATTTGGGGAGGATTCCATACGGCTGATGATGTCAAGCAGCTCTGGATTAAGCTTCTGTTCTTCCCCAATATTAAGGAAGTTGGACACTGACAAGATAGAGTTCTCCGTGGGCTCGTCAGTGTCCTCAGGATCGTTGACAGGGCACCGGGCGAGGCAATCGGCATCCTGCTGCAGGCGGCTAGATTTGTAGACTACCGAAAAGGAAAACTCTTGCAGGCGCAAAGCCCAGCGACCAAGGCAGCCTGATGTATCTTTCAGAAAGTCGAGCCAGCAGAGTGCGTGGTGGTCGGTAACTGCCGAAAATGGGCGTCCGTATAGATAAGGTCAAAATTTCGCTACCACCCATACAAAAGCCAAGTACTCACGCTCTGTGATCGAATAGTTACATTCAGGGGCGGATAGAAGGCGGCTGGCATATGCAATAACGCAATCATGGCCATGTTGTTTCCGAGCCAGCACTGCATCAATGCCATGTTCACTTGCATCTGTACGGATTTCCATAAGGGCGGCAGGGTTGAAGTGTGCCAGAATCGGAGGAGTAGTGAAAAGAGCGACGAGAGTCGAGAACGCAGGAGCCTCTTTGGAGCCCCATAAAAACGGGACTTCTTTCTTGAGGAGCTGCGTAAGCGGCCTCGCTATGTGCGCACAATTTTTCACGAAGCGTCGGAAGTAGGAGCATAGTCCAATAAAGCTGCGTACATCCTTCGCAGATCGCGGTACAGGAAAAGTTTTGACGGCACTGATTTTTGACGGCGCGGATTTTTGCCGGGTCTGGTTGTACACTGTTGGCGTCTACAAAATGGCCAAGCCCTGTAATTTGATGGCGTCTAAAGTGACATTTGGACGAGTTAAGCTGCAAGCCAGCACGACGGAAGATTCCCATGATGGCTGAAAGGCGCTCTATATGAATTTCAAATGTTCGTGAAAAGAAGATGACGTCGTTCAAGTAGCACAAACAGGTGGACCATTTGAATCCTCTGAGCAGAGAGTCCATCATTCGTTCCAAAATTGCTGGAGCGTCACAAAGGCCGAAGGGCATGACCTTGAACTGATATAGGCCATCGGGGCTGATTAATGCCGTCTTTTCACGGCCCATTTCATCTACCTCTATCTGCCAGTAGCCGGAACGAAGGTCTATGGAGGAAAAATAGTGGGACACATAGAGGCAATCAAGCGCATCATCTATTCGTGGCAGAGAGTAGACGTATATTTTGGTAACTTTGTTTAGGTGTCAGTAATCCACGCAGAAACGCCATGCACCGTCTTTCTTGCAGACTAGCACTACAGGAGAAGCCCAAGGACTGCAGGATAGCTCAATGATGCTCTTGGCGAGCATTTTTTTGACCTCGCTTTGGATAATGTGGCGTTCGGCCGCCGACACCCAATATGGACGCCTATGAATAGGATTCTCATTACCAATGTTTATGCGGTGGCTCATACCGGTAGCTTTCCCCAACGGACGGCCGCTGATGTCAAAAACGTCGATGTAAGACAGCAGGACCCGGTGGAGCTCAACAGTCTGCTGCAGCGTTAAGTTGAAAGCGATCATCGATGTAATAGCGCTATTGGAGCAAGTGGCAGATTGATGAGCGTGGGGGTCAGATGGGGTTGCCATCACGAAAACATCTACCGTATTGTCTTCTAAGGCGCAGAGCACGCCAAAGAGATCTCTTGTGGCAGAACTTGAGGTGTCAAGCTAAAGTTGACAACTGAGAGGCACGTGGAACTTCCTGCGACGGACAGAATGGCATGCAGTAATGTAATGCCACGGTTTATGAGGGCATCGATGATAGGGGTCAGAACATAGTCATCGTCGGGAACTGGTGGTATTGAGACGAGCTCTATGTAGGTCAGTTTCCGCGGAGGGAGGCGCGCGTGTCCCGTTGTGCAGAGGCGACTCGGCCGTTGTGCAAGAGGTTCTGTTGTGGGCAAGTGTGGACGGAGCGTACTGGTCGAACAATCTATGAGGGCAGAATGCGCGGACAGGAAGTCGAGGCCTAAGATTACGTCGTGGGGGCATTTATCAAGGACGGTGAAGAGAACAACTGTGTGTCGATCCGCAATGCTCACACGAGTGGAGCACATTTCCACGATAGATGCTATTTCACCATCCGCAACACGGACGAACTGAGTGGTCGCAGGTGTGAGAACCTTCTTGAGCTTGAGGCTAAAATCACTCGTCATCACGGAAAGTTGAGCGCTGGTGTCGACAAGAGCAGTGACATGTACGCCGTCTACTTGTAAGTCTATAAGGTTCCATTTTGTCGGTATCGTCAAAAGAGGATTTTAGGTCAGTCCGAGCGATGCAGTGCCACCTCTGGGGGCTGCAACACTTAGTTTTCGGTCGGGGAATCTTGCGGGAAGGCGGGGGAAGATGGTCGGCGGGGCTGTGGAGAACAAGACTGGCGACGTTGTGGGGATGGAGAGCGGGAGTAGCGGTGTTCAGAAGCAGGTTTCTAGGCAAAATAGTCGCGGCTGGTCTCATGGCGATAGGCAGGACGTGCATAGAAGGAACGAGAGCACGGTTGTGCAGGAGGACCCCAGCGACTTCTGCAATGGCGAGAAATGTGCCCGATTCTGTGACACGAGAAGCAGATTGGCTTGTCATCGTATGTTTGCCATGCGGACGGATTATGGAACGTTGAGGGAGAGCCGGTCGGGAAGAGACGTGCAGGAGTGTATTGGGGCTGGTAGTCGATGCGAAGAGGCGGTGAGATAGAGTGAATTCCTAAGCTGGCGATTTCCTGCCGGACGACTTCTTGAATGAGAGGCAACGTAAATGAGGAGAGGGGTCAGGGGACGTTGGTCGCACCTTAGCTGGAAAAGCCGCTTCAAGTTCCCGTCTGTCGATTAGCGTCAAGTTGTCATAGGTGTCTGGTGGATGATATATGTCGAGACACGAGGACGTCGCAGTGGTGTTCGGGAGGCGTTGGAACTGATAGGAGATGGGTCTGCTTTTAGCTTGTTGGAAGGGGCGGCATTCTTGAGTGATCGCATCAACAGATCACACATTGTTGAATACCAACAAGTTGAATGCATCGTAGGCGATACCCTTTAGGATATGCGCAACGTTTTCAGGTTCGGACATGTTTTCGTCAGCGTGGCGGCATAGTGAGAGGACAGCCTGAATGTAACTGATGTAGGGCTCCATGGAAGATTGTGCGCGAGTCAACAACTCCTTTTTCGCAGCTTCACGACGACCAGAGATGTTGCCAAAAAGCTCACGGAGCTTTTCCTTGAAGCTGTCCCAGCTTGTTATGTCCATGCTCGTGGTTGTCAAACCAAACACGAGGGGTTCCGTCGAGATAAAAGATGACGTCTGCGAGCATAAGAGTGGGATCTCACCTGTAAGTGGCGCTGACGCGTTCGTAGAGGCGTAGCCGCAGGTTGACGTTGGAACCCTCGCTGCCCGAGAACACGCCGGGGTCTTTGAGCGCGGGAAGCGTCACGAAAGTCGTTGTGGGCGCTGGGTTGACAGGCCAGGCAGAAGGGCGAGCGACCGGAGAGGATGTAGCCGAGTCTTGAGTGGTCATGTTGTAAGCCGTGAGGGAGCGTCCGCTTCGGTGTTCCGTGGCGAGGACGGGGATTGACAACTCCACCAAATATGTTACGAGAAGGAGACCGACTCGGTGCGGTAGTCACCGATGTATTTTCAGCCGGTTAGGCGAGCAGCGCCAGCCACACAGATTAGCTCGCGCCAGTCTATCTGGTTTGTCTTCTTCAACTCCATGCACTGGCACGTAGCAATATATATAAGCATTGCTTTCTAAAACTATTCCTGAGAATGTTGCCATGAACGTGAGCCTTAAGACCTCTTCGCAAACCAGTGTATGATACCGGTAAGGACAAGATACTATGAAACTACACTACAGCTTGAACACTTGACCAGGAATGTTTATTATAGATCAGTGATACAACATATGTGAGCAACTTTCAAAGCATATAAATGCAATACCTTGATGAGGGGAAGGCTAGCAGCTTCACTATTTTGCCAGTGTCCATGGAGCGAAGCTTTTGAGAAGCTAAAAAAACTTTATTTAAAAAAAAGAAAGACCGGCGAGTTATTGAAGCATTTGGGCGAATATTCTCGTTTAAGTGCCGATCACAAGCTCTTGACCTCTAACGGCTGCCTCGGCCTGCTCTACAGCCCACAGTTGGTCTTCAAGTGCATGGCTGAGCAGTACGTGCTGTCTCCCAGCGCTATGGGCTCGAGGCGTGCGTCCCCGTCTGGAGCCCCACCTTTGTCACACTCCCATAACATATGTTCCAAGGTTGACCTGGCCTCGCAGAACTTGCAGCGAGCCTGATCGAGCTCTGGGTAACAGAGACTCAAAGCTGAGTGATATTTTTGGCGTTTCACTTCACACATATATGAATACGTCTTGTGTGAAAATCAGTGATGTACAAAATAACAAGCATTACATCTTGCAGACCTAAAAAGAGCCTAGCCTATTTATCAGTCATTTAGCGTTATGCTAATGCTCTGGAAGACATGCTATATCGCTGTTGCTGATGTACCATAAAACAAGTTGAAAGCTGTTGTAATGGTGAATTCTTCCAATTCAGTAACTTTTTACCAGCACAACTTATGTACCTAAAAATGCAGCAACATTATGCTGCTATTCCCATATGTTGCGTTATTTATGACGTCAGATAAAGTCGTTCTGACTGGAAAAAACACCACTTCTTGTCTCTTTATGTTTTTCTTCGTGCTAGAAATGCACCGTGCTGTATTACTACAATCTATCGATTTTTTTATCTGGCCTAGTAGTCATTTTTATAACGCGAACTCGTTTTTAAGATTGTCACCGCTATGTATGTGAGAACTGTGCCTTGTAACCACTCCCTTTTTTGTGCCCAAGAAACACACCCTTTCGTTTACTGTTCTCATGAATACAGCTTTTGTGCAGCAGATATTGAAATGGATTACTTTCTATTTACTTTATAATTTTGCAATTATTCATATTTATATGTTTCTCAGTTTGATATGTATATATGTACATAAAATTTGTGGCCCCTCCGCGGTGGTCTAGAGGCTGAGGTACTCGGTTGCTGACCCGCAGGTCAAGGGATTAAAGCCCGGTGGCGGCGGCTGCATTTTAGATGGAGGCGGAAATGTTGTATGCGAGTATGCTTAGATTCGGGTGCACGTTAAAAACCCCAGGTGGTCGAAACTTCCAGAGCTTTCCGCTGCGGTGTCTGTCAATCATATGTTGGTTTTGGGACGTTCAATTCCACATATTATCCTCATCACATATATTTTGCTCATTCTCCCTTTTACTCCATGCCCTCCACGGTGGCTCTCAAGTACCTTGAAAAAATAAACAAATATATAAACATGTGAAAAGGTTCAGCAAAATCTTTTAAAACTTGAATGAACATCTGACGAATATCTGGTGAATATCTGACGTATTTCTATGTATTATACTGTTTTAGCGTTTAATCCTGTACATGCATTTCGCGAATATATTGTGCTCCCGATTGCAAGTTCAGGCCATGTTTACACCACTGAGGCCCAGCTATAGACGAAGTAGACGAGCCACCAAAATACAGCAAAAGTACAGGTGGTACACGTCACATTAATTTTTTTTAGCTTTCTCCTTACAGCTACAAAATCTTTTTTATAAATTTTGTCATTTTGAACTTTGAATTGTCAACAATAACAGAACTAGATACGGTGGCAAAATGCTACAATCTTGTTCACCGACTATGAATCGCAAAAAATGGTTTAGACGGTATGTACACTATCGCTAGAAAGCCTACGTGATAATTTATGATATTGCTTGTGCTATGAAGGATTCGTTGTTTTTTTTTTTCGTTTGTCCTGGTCTTCATCCCCATAGATTTGTTTTTGTTTTCAAACGTTTCCGTTATAGCCTTGTTCATTATTTCTCACCGTAGTTGTTTGCTGTCTTTACTGTTTTGATAGTACAAACATTATGTACAAAGCATACTTTTATTTAACCCCTGCAATTGCCCAGCGAATGAGGTGGCCAGGTTCCTCTGAAGCTGCTCAATGCAGCTTTTTCATCTGGTAATTCTAGCAACCTTGTGGCAATTCGATTTGATATGTGGGGCTTAACGTCCCAAAACCACCATATGATTATGAGAGACGCCGTAGTGGAGGGCTCCAAGATTTTGACCACCTGGGGTTCTTTAACGTGCATCAAATTTGAGCACACGGGCCTGCAGTATTTTTGCCTCCATTGAAAACGCAGCCGCCGCAGCCGAGATTCAATCCCGTGACCTGCGGGTCAGCAGCCGAGTTCCTTAGCCCCTAGACCACCGCGGTGGGGCATCCTTTTAGCAAAATAAACGGAATTCATTTACTTCCAGTTTGAAGCTATATAGTACGCCAAATGTTTCCTAAAATGAAGCGCTTGAATGATTTTCATTAAAAATGCATTTAGCAGTGTCTACTACGAAAAAAATGTATAGGATTGCTGAAATTTTGGTTATGCGCGATTGTTGTTGTTTTGTACATATCATTAAAAAAGTGCGCAAGCAGGCACTGAAAAAAACCAAACATCATGGGTGATCAGTTCCACTATATTTTATATTGCGTGAACGCTATGTATATGCCCAGAGAAGACAGAGCATAGCGACGATAAACAACTGAAAGTAATTGACATTGAGATGCGTTGAGTATTGTAGATGCGTGATTTCCGTATCAGTATTACCTGTTCGTTTTCAAACATGAGCGCTCATGCGGTATTTCATTGTCTATCTAGTCACTTGTGGTCATGTCTGTGGTTTGACATCCCAAAACTTCGCTATGATTACGGGAGATGCGGTAGTGAAGTGGTGTGAAAATTTCAACCATCCGGTGTTTTTCAAAGTTCAGCGACAAAGCACACTGCACGGACCTATACAGTTTCACCTGAATCCAAAAGCGACCACCGCAGCCGGGTTATAATTAGTGACCCGCTACCTACAGGTCAGCATCTTCTCGTTACTTGATAAACTAAAGACAGATCTGTTGGTTAACATGCCATCAAGTCATTTGAGCTCTAAATAATAATTTTCTCTTCTCAATAACACGTATTATCTGCCGTATTAGGTTATATACTTTACATTTGTGCAGTGAATCTTTTTTTTTTCTTGGCTGTCAGCCTTCTTGCATCGTGCTTTTTCGTGTGTTATACTAATGCTCTTCTGAAAAAGCATGTAAATCAAAATGTATAAGCATAACCAGATACGCGGCAGACGGTTATTATAATATGCGAGCGTTTTTAGCCGCTATTGCAGGCTCTAATGAGTGTTTATCTTGTGGGCATTAAGACAACAAATGCCATTTTCTCGATTATAAAAAGTTTTTGATGTCATAACAGGGGGCGGAGATGCTAAGGGAGAGACAAAAGGCAAGGGTAAAGGTAAGTGCACTTAAAGTTACTTTCTGTGAAAGATAGGACGTAAATAATAATGAAATAGTGTTGAAATTGTTGCTCACATTAGAAATACTGTGTCGTAAAACTGATTCAGTTGAAGCGGTAGTTATTTCGTAATGAATGCCCCAAAGTTTTGCCGCACCGACAGAATAAAGAAAAGAGTTGCATGAGCCCACTGCCTCAGCAGGTGGGCTTAAATTGAGATTGCTTGCTTGTTATAAAAAAAAAAACGTTCAGAACACTTACTGTGGAGTTCCCTCAAATGCACTCACATATTTCTGAGTAATTGCACGTCTTCGCCTACCTAGTTGCCTCTACACAAACTCCTGACGGTGCCTCTGCATATAGAGCAAAACCTTCAGTTTATGCATTCAATGTCACAATAGTTGCACATCTAAGTTGTCCTCATGACATAATGTTAGTTATTTATAGGTATTATCAGTTCATTTCTCCTTATCAAAATAATATAGAATAAGTGCAAGAATTCATCAGAAATATAATGACATATACCAAAGATATGATTGAAAATTCATCAAGTGTCACCATAGAGTAAATATATTGTGACGACTAAGAAAAGTGCAGATGTTCACACACCCGGGCGGAGAGAGCGATGGAGACGAAAAAGACAAAGCAGAATAGAACATCCGACCCGCAGCAAGGGCCATGTGTGTCTGCTTCATTTACATTGGCGCATGCAGCTACGACCTACGAACCGTAAGTGCATCCCCTTGGATCAGCGATGCCGTGGGCTTGGCTTCAAAGGAACGTTGCTCACGGCACCACTTTCATAACGACCCTACTTCCACCGGAGTATTTACGCCAACATTCAAGAACGGCGTCTAGGCCATCTCAATTGCTCAAGGGCTAGCGTGCCTCGGCCCGTCCAAAAGAGTGCATGACCTACAACATTTCTCGGTAATGCCTATAAGGCTTTCCAGTACAACAATGCGTCTCTCAGTACTCCATCGGCACCTCAGCTGTTTAGGGGTGCTGTTCTAGCTCCCTCGTCCGAGGATACAACCACACTAAGTAGCTGATGGAAGACTACTCTTCGGACGCCACCAATGGCTCCGCATGCGGACCACCCGAAAGCGATATGGAGCTTTCCTGCCACATCGCACGACTCCTCTTTGTGGACAACGCCTTGACAGCGTCTACCTCTTGGCTGTTTACTGCAGTCTTGCCAGGGCTGCACGTGATCGACACCACGTTGGCCGCAGCTCCCCCCCCCCCCCCCAAGACCATAAACAGACGTCACCGTAGAGCCGCAGAAAGCTGCAGTATACCCTCACAGAGCTTTTGCATCAACTCTGCTGGCTCGCGTCAACATGCTTCAGAGTTTCGGGGCAGCCGTATAATCATCGCTGGCTGCCTTCGAACTCCCATGCTTTCAAGGCTTCTGGAACGACGCCTACAATTAGGTGGCCACCGCCGATGTCCTCGGAGCTCACAAGGCATCGGCTGAAGAGCAGAAGTGATGCATGGCCATATACTGCCTCCGAAATGCTGCCGCGGCGTGACACAGATATGGAGGCGTGAGGCAGTAGCCGTGAGCACACTTGACCACCGAGCTCTTAGCTGCCTTTGAATGAATTGACTACGACCTCACAGCCACTGCCCATTCCAACCTTGCCCCTGTCGACGACGGAGCTCTACAGAAGCACCACTTCGAGGCTGTTACTGTACTGCACTGCTTATCGACGAAAACATTTCCACCATGCATTACTGAAAACACTCGATTGAAGCAGTGCTCTGAGACTGTTCTGTTTTCCGACGGAGGGCCAACAAGACAAGAAGTTGAGGACTCATGTTCTCTACAGGTGACAATACCGCACGCTCCAAACTCTAAATCCTGCGCCGAAACCTGAAACCTATATCAATATCTTAGCTGGCATGTACAAAGACCGTATAGCTTCCTTAATTTTTCACCAGAAAAGCGATGAAATTTCGATAACAAAAGAGTAAAAAAGCAGGTACCATATCAATGATGTTCTTCATCGCATGCTTGGAAAAAGGGTTAAAACAGTTAGACTGGGAGGAAGTAGAATTAAGCTTTAGCGAGAATGGCTTAACAACCTACGATATGCAGACGACACCGCTCTCTCGAGTAATGCTAGTAATAAATTGCAAAAGAATCACGAATCAAACCTAGAGTTACGACAAGCCTAAAAATCAATATGGCGAAATCAATTATGACGTGGAATGACCTAGCAAAACACAAAAAAATGAAATTTTGAAAGCCGTACATTTCAGTTTATACAATAATATGTGTTCCTAAGACAGCTATTCACGGGGAAACACATTAAAGAGGGGAAATTCGCCGAAGGAAGCGAATAGGCTGGAGTGCATTGAGCGGCCACTTCACAAATATTGTCAGGAAGTCTCCCACTGTCACAAAAGCGAAAAGTACATCGCTACTGAATTCTGCTAACTCTTAATTGTCACTGAAATATGCAGATTAAAAGAACAACTAGAGCAAAAGGTGAGGAACACACAGTGTGCAATGGAACCGAAAATATTAAAAATAACAATGAGAGATCAGAAGTCTGCAGCATCGGTAGGAAGCCAACACGAGAGGCAGATATATTAGCTGAGATAAATAGAAAAATTATTTACCTTGGCTGGTCCCGTAACGCGTACAAGATGCAACCAGTTCACATTAAGGACAAGAAGAATGGTTACTAAGGCGTGGAACACACATTCGGGGAAGGGAGAGAGTTGGAGTGAGAGAAAAATCGGGAAGTTCGCGGGTATAAAACGGAATAAACTCCCACAAGATTGGGCAAGCTTGAAACTATTGGGAAAGGACTTTCTTCTGCAGTGAATTAGCACAGGCTGAGAATGCTGACGATGGCGGTGAAGTTCATTCACAGTGCCGTGCACGCTAGGCACGAACACTGCACGGCGTGGCTGCGCTCAGCGAGGCGCCCGCGCATACAGTGCGGCCGCGCATCGAAGCTTTTCAGCGCACGCGCACAGGCATTGCTTCATGAAGGCCGTGACGCAATGCTCGTGAGGCATACTCAGTGTTTGCAATCAAGCACGCCTAACAATCAGTGTATATGCCTGCAGCGATTGAGTGTGCCGCAAGCCGTTACAGTAAAACACGCGTTGTTTACTGCAGCGTGGTCGATTGGTTGACTGATATATGCATAGGATTTAACGTACCGAAGCCCCCATTTTATCGGCTAAGATCGAACTGGTTTTTAGCCTTTTTGCTACCTGTTTCTAACTTATACACTTTTGTCATCCTTTTATTATGTTCTCTTCTAACCTGGTATGATGTATTGTGTAATAGAAATAAACGAAAATTCTGCAGCGCGATGTGGGTCACTTAAACAGCAAGTAGCTTACTGCAGCTTCATGCGTAAAGAAAGAGTATCAAACACGTGGCGCACTAGCCGAATGTGAACCGCGGGCGTTTGTCTGATGGCGCGCAGCTTCTCCAAGAATGAAATGTTTGTGACGTCTAAATAGGGCTCGCGTACTTACTCGCGTAAAACGTTTAATAATGCATTGTTCGCGTGATCTATAGAGACAGTACTGATTTCAAGCAGTTTTTTTTCGTGAGGCTGTTCATGCAGTGACCATGTATGAAGGGTTACCTTGAAAATAAAAACCTAGTACATTTTAAAATCTGCGTTCCAGATCTGTCAGCACGGAGATCTGTATCTGAATATATGTTTCTCAAATACTAACGCCAAGTCTATCTCAGGAATGATACATGTGAGATATGACAAATGACTTGTCTCACGTAGTAGTGTTGCGTTCAAGTTTGTTTCAACCTATTCACGATCGAAACTCAGCCGGTTTGACCGAACTTTTGTGGACATGAGAGTAAAGTAGGCCCGTGAGCTGTTTAATGTCCGCTCGCATTGCAGAAGCACATGTGGGCGCAATTATCCACAGCCATCTTCTGCAACGTATCCCATATTGCAAAACCGCATTGCGATGTTCATTTTTATAAGCCAAAATAACCCCGAGTAAATTTCAATTATTTAATCCCCCAACACTAGTTGTGTCACTGAAAAAAGGCACCACTTACAAAGTCCTCGGAAAACTGCACAGAAAGGCAGTAAGTGATGTGCACTTTTCTGCAACGTCGTTTCGGTGCACTCAATCGCTACAGGCACGCTGACAGATAGACGTGCTGCACCTCAAAGCTAGCATGGCGTGCCAGCATGTGAAAAGAGCGCACGCAATGCCTGTGCGCTTGCGCCGATAAGCTTCGATGCGAGGCCGCACCGTGTGCGCTGGCGCCCCATGAAGCGCGATCAGGGTGCGCCGAGTTCGTACCTGGAGTAGACGGCAGTGTAACAAAACTGGTCGCAGAACTCTACATAGGAATCTTCACAATGCCACACAATGCTGCCATCACCACAATGACACGGTATTGGCTTGTATTAAACTGGAATCCTTAGGTGTCTCCCCATACGCGAACATTGACTGTCGGCGTCGTCATCCAGCAGCCTCGAGGAATTGAAGATTATACAAAGAAATCAAAATATTGATATTACGCCACCATATGACGTCATAATGACATCAGAGGCCACAAACTTTTTAACGTGGTTCTATGCCATTGTGACGTGATGTAACATGACGTTGATGCTTGACGTCATAGCTTCGTCTAAGGAATACCGACCAAGGAGAAAGTACAAAACCACGTAAGGTGCAGAAAGCTTCCGGAGGGCGGCGAACCAAGACCAGTACGTGGGCTGAGAAAAAAAAAGTATTGCTCGTGCATTCGAGTCCACTTATGTGAACGCCAAAGGGATTCTGTGTTTTGTTCATCCCGTGATATAACGAAGTTAAATTGTCTGGGATTATTGTTGCTCACAATTCAGTTTGCCATCACCTGGATTACACAGTAATAAAGCAAGTAGCATTTTCAGCCCTGCGCATACAGGTGATTGTGTAAATTTTCAACTGCTTGATGCCAGGATGCCCCCCGGATTCGCTTACATAATTCTGTTACAAATATGACG